TGAACATTCTAGCTCAATTAGAATGAGAGTTATTGTGTTCCATTTTGATTGTGTATGGCATTTTGATTGCTGTGGATTCATTTTTGTCTAGTCCTCCAGTGCATCCATTGGGGTGAGCTGTGGTAAAACATTAATGAAAAATTATGTCAATTAGACGTGTAAATGACCCCTTTTAATTGAATTTTCAGGTTATAAAATTATAGTTATGATAATGATTACAAGACAATATTTTAAACAATCTACTGAATACCAAAAATCGTGAAAGGTAAAAACAACCTTCAGATATTGATCAAATAACAAGTAATATTAAATTTCAACCTGACTGAATGACGTTAGCGAATGCTGGTTCAACAAACGGTATCCCTGACAGGTTAAATGCTAATCTCCACCCCTTTAAAATGGCAGCAGTGTGGTCTAGTATTTTGACTTGCTTCTTGGTTTCAACAGCATGCACATCCATATTACTGCCATATCCAAATGACCAAATATTTTTATCATCCATCTTCTGTGGTCTACCTGCCAATATATGAAATCGGTGATCCTTTTTAAATAATAAACTTGAATGGTTATACCTATCACTTTTTGACACATTGAAAAGAAATTCTTTTTGATAGACTTAATCTCCCAACGCTCGCATTACCTGCTTTGGCCGTACAATACATACGGGTTATGCTCCAGGTAAACCCATGATGTTAGAAATGGGTGACATTTCGTGAAATAGCTCTTTTGTAAAGAAATTAACTGAGGCTCAACAAGTTGAGAAATCCGGAAGTTATTCCTATAGCCCATCTTTAGAATACTCCTTGTGGGTATGTATTCGTGATGGGTGGCAACAGACAATACTAGCACCCGCGGATTCGAGACGAGGTTCGTGGGCTCAATAAACAAAGGGTACGCCCACGCTGCATCATAAAGCACTGCAAAATTCCAGAAGCCTCCTATGTTGGCTTTTCGAGATATATTACCGGAAACCTACTAAAAATATGGGAGGATCGGGATAGTGTATGCTAACTGCGTACACAATAACTTTTAATCTAGCTTTGGTGTCTCCAAGATCTTTACTTCACCAAATCAACAGATGCATCAGAAATGAACATGCCAAGTTTTATTAACTTTCTATGTTGGGGTATCGCAGTGGTTCTCAACCTTTTCTTGCCAACGGCACACGTTGGAACACATGAAAAAATAGCGGCACACCTGACTAAATAATATATGAAAATATTTGAATTTTGCAAAATAAAACCATGGCAAGTCATTGACGGCATACAACCGTAGACACGGACTAGTCATATAAACATAAAATGACTCAAACTGAATACAGAAAAACACAGCTATGAACTTACCAGTAGACACCAGTGAATACTCAACTGTGATCACGTAGGTTTTCGCATTTTCTTAGTGTGCCGCGAAGTTAGGAAGATCTGTGCCGCGACACACTGGTTGAGAATCACTGGCGTATCGAGTTATATCATCGCAATATTCCTAACACTCGGATTCGAGGCGCTAGGACGTTTGCGATGATACGCCAACATAAAAAGTTATTTTATGCGCAGTGAGCCTACCCTAACCCGATTCCCCTTATTTTTAGTATGTTTACGGTAATATGTCTCGAAAAGTCAACGAAAGAGGCCTTTAGAATTTTGCAGTCTAGTAGTTTATTCATCCCTAGATTCGGTGCAATTAAAAAACATTTTGCCACCATAGCGGATTTGGGTGCTTTTGTGTGCAGCGTGGGCGTACCATTTGTTTCTTGAGTCCACGAACCTCGCCTCGAATCCGGGTGCTAGCAACTTTGCGATGATATAACTCGATACGCCAAAATAGAAAGTTAATGAAATTTGGCATGTTCATAACTTATCCATCTGCAGATGATACCACTTTAACTCTCTCGGATGAAAAATCAGTAAATAGTGTTTTTGAAATTATTGAACCCTAGTGTATAGCATCAGGTGCGAAAATGAATGTTGAAAAGTCGGAAATAATGCCTGCTGGTAAATCGGTCAATACCACATATAGCTTTAATATACGAGTTAATATTGTTACTGAGTGCATGTTAATTCTAGGTGTATATCTTGGACCGAATAAACTGTATTGTGAAAATATGAACTGGCGTACTAAAGTTACAAAAATCAAACAAATTCTTAATTTATGGAGTAAACGAAATCTAACCTTACATGGCAAATCCACTGTTGTACAATCTCTAGTTTTAACTAAATTATATTTTCTTATGGCCGTTCTACCAATACCCCCGGATATTGAAATTGAAATAATTAAGGCTATTCGTAATTTCCTTTGGAATGGTAAACCTCCACGTATATAACATACTTCGGTTATTGGGAATAAATGCGACGGTGGACTAAGCTCTCCTGATCTTAACCTCAAGAGTAAAGCCTTAAGTCTAAAATGGTTAATTAAATTTAGTGACGAACAGTATGTTCATCTATGGAAAAATACAATGATGTATTTTATTAACACGTACGGTAATTTTAATCTTGGTAAAGATATCTTAAAAGTTTTATATACCAAAAGGTTATTGAAGAATTTACCAGATTTTTATAAAAACTTACTAGAATCCTGGGATGATTTAAACAAAGGCACAAGACCCTTCCCAGATTCAATCGTGGATATAGCTACACAACCATTGTTTAACAATAAATATATCAAATATAATAATAAACCCTAAATAATGATACTTTCATTATTTCGGGAATTAGACAAATAGCTGATATTTTAGATAATACTCTAAGCCTGGGTTTGTATCTACAAAACATATTATTAGTTTAATTCACGCTTATAAATGAAATGAAATGAAATGAAATGGAGTTTAACGTCCTACTGTTCTGCTCCTAACCTGGGCTAATGAAGACGGGCATACGCCATACAGTGTGCTATGAGGGAAATTTTGCCCGGACAGCGGCACTACGGCCTACTCTTATATCGAATTCCAACTGCCAAGGGATCTTTTACGTGCACGCCAATGTGTACACGGGACCTCGGTTTTTCGTCCCATCCGAACGACTAGACAGCTTTCCTTGTCAGCCCCTCCGTCTTGCATCACTGACAAGGGAGAACCACGCCGGAAAATCTGGATGAACTTTCTCGGCCAATGCAGGGATCGAACACCCGACCTCCAGGCTAGCGAGCTAGCGTCTTACCCACTTAGCCACGTGGTCCCCTTCACGCTTATAACCCTAAACGTAGATATAACACAATTCTTAGAAATTACGAATTAATTAAGACAAGTATCCCCCAATCATGGTTGAGAGTAATTCACACTAACACGTATGTAACAACAATGTCGTCTTCCAACACGAGTCATGTGATAGACGGTGAATTGATAACACCAAATAAATTAACTTCTAAATTCTGCTATCAGAAGCTACTCAGCTATAAATTTGTTCAACCTACTTGTTTAAATTATTGGGAGAAAAAGGGTTTCGTGTGTAATTTTCCTATCATATGGAAAAACGTGTTATATGTACTTACAAAAATCCTAAATGTGTTGACTTAGATTTTAAAATTGTACATAATATATTATGGTCAAAAGAAAAGCTATTTAAGATATGTAAAGTAAGTGACGAATATTGTCCTGTCTGTAAATTAATGCACGAAGATATTGAACATTTATTCATTAGATGCCAACATTTGACAGATTTTAAACTTTTAATTAAAGATATACTACTTGATATATTGAAATTGAATATAGATATTAATGAACTAGGCACTGTTATTTTATTTGGTTTTCAACAGTCATGTAAAACCCTTCCAATAGAGTTATGTAATATTATTTTATGTACAGTAAGAATAGCTATATATATATATATAGCTATTTGTATATAGCTATTTCAAATGTACATACGCACTTTTCAATCCTTTTTAACAATTTCATAATGTTGTATATTAATGTATATATGAATACAGTCTAATGCATTTATGTATTGTATATGATATTGTATTTAAAAATTTGTGAATAAACATTTTTCAAGAAAAAAAACAAAAAAACTTATCCATCTGTTGATTTGGTGAAATAAAGAACTTGGAGCCAGTGAGCCTACGTTACCCCCCCCCCCCATACTTTTAGTATATTTTCGGTAATGTATCTCGAAAATCCAGCAGAGGAGACATCTAGAATTTTGCAGTCTAGTAGTTTATTCATCCCTTGATTATGTGAAATAAATAAGCTTTTGCCACCAAAGCTGGTTTGGCTGCAGCGTGGGCGTAACCTTTGTTTAGTGAGCCAAAGAACCTCGCCTCGGATCCGGGTGCTAGGAACTTTGCGATGGTATAACTCGATACGCCAACATAGAAAGTTAATGAAATTTGGCATGTTCATATATTATGCATCTATCGATTTGGTGAAATAAAGATCTTGGAGCCACCAAAGCAAGCAAGTTCTCTGCGTGCTCAGTTAGCCTAGTGTGCCATATTTTAGTATGTTTACGGTTATAGTTTTTTGGGTTTTTTTTGTCTATTATTTATATACTTTGCATTAATTAATACAGTGGTTCTCAACCTTTTCTTGTCCACGGCACACCTTGGAACACATGAAAAATAGCGGCACACCTGGCTAAATATATATGGAAAATATATGAATTTTGTATAAATAAAAACATTGCAAGTCATAGACGGCAGGCACAGACTAGTCATAGGCACATAGCATGATTCAAACTAAATAAAGAAAAACACAGCTATGAACTTACCAGTAGACACCAGTGAATACTCAATTGAGATCATGTGGTTTTTCGCATTTACATAGTGTGCCGTTGAAAATTTCGAGGCACACTTAGGAAGATCTAGCGACACACCTGCGGCACACTGGTTGAGAATCACTGCATTAATATGTCTTTAAATGTTATTTTCTAATATAGAGGTAACAATAATATTATTTTCGTGATAATTATATATCGGGTTTTATTGGAGCTAGGAATATGTTTGCTAACTTCATTTGGAATCCGGATGTACTATTGGAATACGGGTGAGAATATCGAGTTTGAGAATATCCGCTCGGTAAACTTCAGTCAAGACCATTTATTGCATTGCAGAGCAGTGTACCGTAGTCTGTAGAGTATAAATAAATGTTCATTACCTTCTTAGCGTGCTTCTAAATTATGTCTAGTGAATAGATTACGTTTATATCAAAACTACGCCTTGGTCGGTCACAGACTATTCACGATCAAAAACCAACACCATAGGTAAATACACATTCTATTAATTAAAACTAGCCTCTGTCACCCAGCCTATCATTGTCATTGTGTATGTGTTCATGGTTGGCTAGCCTATATGAATATTTACAGGTTAGATCTAATTAATAAGGCCAACTTCATGTTTGGCTAAAGGTCACGAGATGTAAATAGGGCTAGTGATAATCCCGACCATAACCCTAACCCTGGACCTAGCCCTAATGCTTACCCTAACCTACAATCTCGACAACAATCACGTGCCCTAACCTTACTTACATCTAAGCGACCATGGCGAAAATTGAGCTGGCCTTAACAAATAGATTTAGCCATTTACAGATAGTTAAGTGGTTACACGAACTTTGTGTGTATACCTTGTCAATGTATACTTAATGTTATTGTGGGTTTAAAATAGGTCATATTATGACAATCCATTGGTCGCGTAAATTCTTCTTCTCTCGCCTTCACAAATAATTATATTGTCTGCTTTATCGCCCCGATGAAATCGCACGTTAAATAAATCTATTTTGTCGTAAGAAAATAAATTATTATCATAATGATCTCGACAATATTATAACGAAATTCTTAGAAAGTATTAGAGGTGCAATATCACTGGATTCAACGGTTATGATTTATTTTACGCCTACTTTTAGCCTGCTTCATAAATAACAACGAAACGAAGTGAATGGACATAAATTAACAAATGAAATGAAATAGAGTTTAACGCCCACTGTGCCATTTAGGCTTATGAAGACTGGCATACCGTATGCTATGTTGGACGTATTTTTGCCCAGACAGCGGCTTTTCTGTCATACTCACTTCGAGTTTCAAGTGTTAAGAATTAACGTCCAGAGAGAGAGAGAGAAAGTTAACGTCCACTCGATACAAACTAGGTAATTTCGCGATTAACTGGTTCAATTTTATTTGAATAATTGGCTTGCGCGAAGGGGCCTTTATAAGTGGGAGGAAACCGGAGGACAGGATTTCGATGTTGCATGGGCATAAGCAATTTTATTCTTCAATGCTTTATGTGTAGGATAAAGCACGAGATTGAGGTTATGCTGGGGAAAGAAAGACTGAAGAAAATAACCCGAGAAAAAGAAAAACCGAGGCCGGTAGGCAGAGGTTTTTCTGTCGAGGGTTTTTTCTGAAGTCTTTCTTCCCCAGCATAACTGAAGCCGAGGACTTTATCTTGCTTATAAACCGTCTGTTTCATTGTACGCAAGATGAGAATATCCCAGAATTCCCGCAAGAAAAACGTTATATCATGTTTTCTTATGGAAAAAAAACCTACCCTGGAAGAATAACCTGTTACAGGTTTAAAGAAAAACTTTCAGAAGAATAACCCCAAATTCCCCTGTATATATCCAAAACCTCCCCTGACCTTCAGACCGCAAGTTATTCTGGGCATAGAATATACCCCAAAGATCAAAGAGATTTACCGTTACAGGTTTATAAAAAAGGATAAATGCGTAAGTTTCATCTATTTATTTGACATTAAGGCGGGCACATATCAAACAATATCTAAATAATAAAAATATCAAAAATATCTAAATAATGAAAGTATAAAACCAAAGATTCTCAAGTTCTAAAAAAAGGTGTTACGCTACTGACGTAGACTAATTAATTTCGTGGTAAACTCCATGAGCTAACACCAGATTTTTGCTGTTCTCTAAATTCTGAGAGATAACCTAATGGCGTTTTGCTACTAGATAAGTAATGATCTAACCAACGATACACGTATTCTTTCTCCTCTTGCGATAACTTGTCCACGATTGGATACGGTGGCAGACCTTCGCCCACATTTTCACCTAGAGCAAGAACACCGTGGAACAGCATCAGGATATGCGCCGAAGTTTCTCTTCCTCTATGAGATTGAACATACACCGACTTTGGTTGCAAAATGTATCCCAAAACGGCTATTCTACTTGGAAAATTGGAGTCTGTCCCATTATATTTGGCTAATTCTTCTACTGTTATTTGAGGTAGGTCGTCCGGTTCAGGAAGTGAAGATCTTGTTTGTAATATTTCACTTGATGGTGCGTAGGTCTCTATCTGAAACAGGCAACATCCGGGGATTTCAATTTCTACCCGAAATCGATATTTATCTGCAACAGGTAAGTAATTATAGGCTTTTACTCCAGTTACTTTAGTAGGAATGACTATAATGTACATTTTGTCTTTACAATGACACATGCACACACCTCATCTTACTGTCAGTATGAGATAGAGAGAGAGAGAGAGAGAGAGAGAGAGAGAGAGAGAGGGGGGTTTAACATCCACTCGACACCAACTAGGTCATTTCGGGACGAACACATGATTCAAATTTTATTTCAATAATTCGCTTGCGCGTAGGCGTCTTTAGCAGTGGGACCCGGAAAACCCCCACGAGGTTGGACAGGCGACCCTACGACCCTACTCCTTGTACGTACAACCGGGGTTTCGAAACCACGCCAGTTGACTCAATGAAGACCTTATGATGCAGCGCGCACGTGATAACCATTTGGCCATCCAACCCCCCATCAGTATTCAAAAATTAGTGATACATTATATTTCACCTCTTCCATTTTTCTCGTTCAGTTTTCACAAATAATAGAGATTGGAACACATAAAGTAGGCTACACATTATCTGGGAGAAAAGGGTGTCATCTAATTTTCCCATACTGTATAAGAGTAACATGATACTTTTATTAGTGGCAACGGGGGTGTATCGGGGTGGGGTGACAGTAGGTTTGTTCCACTTTCCCTCCGAAAACAAATATTAACTAGAGTGAAATGGCATAATACATTCATTTGTATTTTGTTCATCCAAGTATTTTGTATATCCCGCGATAAATAAACAACGGAAATAACATACCGTGGAACAAAGCCGTGGTCGTTTTTTTTTTCAAATGAACAATATCCAGAGGCATTGATGGCGCATGTATAATAGTACAATTTGTTGACGAGAATGAAGATTTGGACATATTATTCAGTTACAGCAAGAGTGTTATTGTCCCTTTAAAAGAGTAGAGAGAACGGTTAAAACTATGTACGCTACGCTAATACTATACTCAGATTGATTATTTAACATGCATTTACAAAGTAATTAAGAAATCAAAATGCCAACACTAGATAAAGTCCCGATTTTGATTCAGTTGAATTTAGAAAAGACGTATTAATAAATTTATTTTCGCGGACAACAAAATTTTCACATATATTTATAAATAATGAACAAAATTTAACTATTTTGGACTGAAATTCCTATTAGAGATCCAGTTTTCGAAATAATGTAGTTTGCAAGTGACTGGGCTAAAATGAAGACGGGAAATATTTAAAGATACATTATTTAAGATTTAGATAAAGAACTAGCCATTCTTGCTATAATAGTTCGAAAGTAGATGATGTAAAATGAATAATTTGAAAATTTCATTCAAATTACTCTATTGCAAGCGAAGATATTAGCCTTTGAAGGTTTGACGGACGTGTGCAATAATTTCAACCACCGTACTGGTTGATCGAAGCTCAGTCTCGGTCCTCCATATTTGATTAAATCAAAGTATCGCTGAACCATTCTAATCTATTTAATATCGGAGAAATCTGATGCCATCAAGAGTTGATTAAGGCTCGGATCAGTTAATTAATGTCTAATTAATACTTTAGAAAACATTTCAGGCATAAAGAAAGACCTGCAATAGGCAGATTTAGCTCTTGCATAATGCATGTTTAACTAATTCATGATTTACAACATGCCTTGTTCTAGAATCATGATGTTCCTTACGGTGATGTAAAGATTACACACCTCCGGATTTCAATGAAATTACACTAGGTGTCTGAATTGTATTAAAAAAAACAAACCCCAAAACAAACGTATTTAAATGTAATGTAAAGCCCGTTTTCATGTACACTTTTTTTTTTATTTTTTTTTTTTTTATCGAAAACGGGCTTAACATTACATTTAAATACATTTTTTTATACTCTATTTTCGGCGTGACACTAATCGGCGCACCCGATGGTGCCTATGCCCATTGGGGAAAGGATCGGCTCCCCCAATGGACGCAATACGAAGTCAACGACCAACGTGCCCCCCCCCCCCGCTAGTTACGGGTCTGGTGGAGTAACACTACTGAAAATGGGAAATTTATTACCACCAACAATTGCCCTATAAACTAAGGATAAGATACCATTACATACCGCGACAATCATCCAACAACATGTGGCCGTTGCCTCTGCCTTTGCCAGCTCTGGCTGTGGTACTGCTGGACATACATAGACAGGATTAAACTAATTATATATGAACTCCCGGCGGGGTGTCTTGTGTAAGATATTGAGTTGCTCACCGTTCGTAGTTTATCAATATAAGATGGCTTTAAACCAGCTAGTTTGGCGCCTTTAATAAGTATATCCATATATCTCTTGGACGGGTTTCTTTCATCTGACGTCGTTGCTGAAGGTTTGTTAACGTAAACGAATCCACTTAAAGTTCGACCATCATACGCCTTGAGTGTAATCTTAGCTTTATTATATCCCGTTTCAATTCTATCCATATTTGCCATAGACTCTTTACTGATGCAAAAGGCAACACCGTGTACTTCATCGGTTGATTCTAAAACATTTTAACAAAAGGGCAGGTTTAGGAAATTCATGTGGGAATTTATAGTCGAATTGGAAATTGGCAGCATTCTTCCTCGTGATATACCGAATAAGACACAGCAATTTTCTAACGTGTTAAAAACTCTGACCTTTAGACCATTTGCAGGGTTTCTGTGACAGGGGCATGAAATGCAATGGAGGTAACCGGCTGGGCTAATGAAGACGTCCATACGCCATAAACTGGTTTGTGGGGAAAATTTTGCTCTGACAGCCGTACTACGGCCTACGCTTTTTTCGAATTCCAACTGCCAATGACTCCTTTACGTGCACGCCAATGTCTACACGGGACCTCGGTTTTCGTCCCATCCGAACCCCTCCGTCCTGCAGACGTACTACGGCTTACCCTTATTTTGAATTTCAACTGTCAATGATTCTTTTACGTACACGCCAATATCTACACGGAACATAGGTTTTCGTCTCATCCGAACGACTAGACACTGTTGTCTATATGGTCCCCACCAATGTTTACAGGGAGCTGGAAATTGTTTATCAAATATAAAATTCATACCTGACGGAATAACGTTAGCGAATGCTGGCTCAACAAGCAACAACCCTGACAAGTTAAAAGCTAATCTCCAACCCGTTAAAATGGCGGCTATATGGTCTAGTACTTTAACCCTTTTCGTGGTTTCTAGAGCATGCACGTCCATATTACTGCCATATCCAAATGACCAAATCTTTTCATCGCTCATCTTGTCTATCTGAAAATATATAATTTAAGCAGAGAATCTTTAAAAGACAGTTTTAATGATAGGTTGCCAGGCAACGAAACATACGCCCACAGCACCTAAGTCGTCCGGGCAGTCAACAAGAGTTGTCGCATATTTTTTCTATAGTCGGCAATGAAACATTTATAATACACTAAAATCTGGTCAAGAGTAACAACTCATTAAGTGATTATCAGAAAATCATTAGAATTTGTTTGGCTTTTAGTTCTGTCCCATGATAACGTTTTGTATACGAAACATTTGATATCATGCTTTTAGTTGTTCAAGTTATCAAAATTCATTGAAAATCAATATACTTGTTCGTCTTAAGACCTTAAACTCTGTTTATCAATCTAAAGTCAATCGGATGATAACTTTGGTCTCTAGCACCCACAAGATTTTTCAAAGTGATCAAGAGCCATAACTTTAGTAGTAATTATCGGAAATCATTGAAAATCACTGGGCTTCCTCGTCTCACGACCCTAAACACCGTGTATAAATTTAAAGTCATAAAGTCAATCGGATATTAACTTTAGCCTCTAGAGCGTCCACAAGATTTTTCAAAGTGATCAAGGGCCATAGCTCTGGTAGCAATTTTCGAAAAGCATTGAAAATCACTGCGTTTCTTCGTCTCACGACCTTAAACACTGTGTATAAATCTGAAGTCAATCGGATATTAACTTTAGCCTCTAGAGCGTCCACAAGCAATTGTTGACGCCGGACACTTTAGCCTCTAGAGCGTCCACAAGCACGGACGGGGGCGACGACAATATACGACCACATTTCAATGTGGGCGTATAAAAATGGTCCTAAACATTACGACCCTGAGAGTATAAATTAAAACATAAAACACTCAGTGGTATTATAATAAAAAGTGACCATCTGTGTTGCAAAACAGAACGCTAATGTTATATTCAGGTTAATACAAAGCTCCTTTTTTAAAAAATGACTAAACTACTTTGATTATGGTCAAAAACAAAATTGTTAATTTAACTGGGTTGTGTTTTCTGTGTGGTCTATAGTCACCGGTCCTATATCTAATCACCGACATGAATCAACAAGTGCGTTTGTTGTGTCAGTATCGCAAACAGTGACCGACAAGGAAAGATATGTTAACATATTATTAGATCAACTCAATTCAATACTTTATTTAATATGTTTTAACTTAACATCAAAAATTCTTAATATGACACCACGGGTCATTAAGTTTACTTTTTGGCTAAACCATTGTCTTTACAAAAAAAAAAGACGATATACGGACCGAAATGGTCTTTACTACTCTTGGGGTCTTAAATGTACGGACGAATCATCCATGATTTCACTAATGATTTATGAATGTTGTTTGACAAAACACCTAAAAACGTAGGTAAATAGTCAATGAGTTTGCGACGCGAAACTAAAAGAGAGAGACATACATAAATGCAGACTTAAAACCTTTAAAATTAGTTACTAAAAATACTTTAAGCCCAGTTGTTATTTAAAAGCTTAACTTTAAAATAATATGTTTTAAGACCAGATTTTTTTTAAAAAAAAGCAATGCTCTCACGTGGTTTCATAGTAAAGGTGCTCTAAAAGAAAATGTTCTTTCACCAAAAGAACATAGTTTTTTTATCGTAAACTGTGAGTCAGTTTATGCAAAGGTAGCGATTCAGACAGATATCGTGGATCTGGGTTATTTAAACATTTATGAGCGAAGAGTACAATCTTAAAATATATCCTATAGATAATACATTTTAGGTGTGTCCTACTATTGGTGAGAAATAAGAGCCACGCCAGTGAAACCATTATGCAACCAGGTTATTATTGCTTGAGTTCGCAGTGGAGGGGGGGGGGCGGAGGCCCCGGAGAAAACCCACGAGGATGGACCGGCGATCCTACTCCTTGTCACGTACATGCAGAGAATCGAAACCACGCCATGTGGCTCAATGCCAGATCTTAGGATTTCACGCGCACGCGTTAAACCACTAGACCGCCCAAGCCTCCCAGACTCACTTCTAGGAAATATATAACTTAAATAAAGGCCTAAATTTTGGAGCGACTCGATACGCTTTTTAATTAACCTCTGTATTTCTCTTTATAAAGGGCAAAATTTAAGACTTCTCCTGGCCCTTTGAAACTAAAATTTGTATTATTATTACACAGTCATGAACGCTGATCACAAGCACCAGAAAATATTAAAATAAAACTTCTTAATTGCTTGACTATCTATCTATAAGCAGTACTACTGTAATATATAGTCAAGCGGTAGTGAGGAGTGTTATTTTAATCCCTTTAAGTACCCGTGATGCTGATGACATTGGGTTAGGTCTAAATATTAAAGGGTGTATGGGTCTATTCTTTTGAACCTTTAAATTGACGAAAATGGAAATGAAATGGGGTTTAACGTCCCACTGTTCTGCTCCGACTCGGCTAATGGAGACGGACATACGTCACACAGTGTGCTATGAGGGGAATTTTGCAGCATCACTATGACCTACTCTTATAACAAATTCCAGCTGCCAAGGATGCTTTCGCGTGCACGCCAATGTATACCCGGGACCCCGGTTTTTAGTCCCATCCGAACGACTAGAATAGTAGAAAGCTGTCTTTGTCAGGCCCTCCGTCCTGCACCACTAGACGAAAATGGGTCTAAAAGTACATATTGATGTAATATGAATGTATGTAAAGTGATTTATTTTCATTTAAAAAAAAAAAAAAAAAATTGTAATTTCTAATCAATTATGTCCGGTGAAATAGACTACGCGAACAGCCCAAATTGGACGGCAGTTTACGTTTACTAACCTGACCGATATGACATTGCAAAAAAATTCGAATAGCTCGGTGATAGTCGGCGCGTGACGACCGACCCTTTCTGATGACATGAATTAAATAACATGCATTCATTCAATTGATCCTTTTAGTATATAATCTACATTGTGTTACCTTTATAAAAATTAACAAATCTCGCGTCTAAAACTTCACCTTGGCTGTGAGATCCATGATCAAATATAGCATTAACCAAATCAACGGTAAACATCCGGTTAAAAGGGTCATGTGATGTGAAAAAATCACATGACATGTTGTATTGACGATTGTCCCATCTCACCTGCAAAGAAAAACCCCACAGAAAGAACTCCAATCTAGGAAATTAGGAGGTGTACATTTTATAAACAGCAGCATATATATTAACGGTATGGTCTAGTCATATCATTGGTTGAGCACCAGGGGTATTAAATTTTAAAAAAATATCTAGAAAAAGCAAAATTTCGAATTAATATAATTTAAATAATTATATAATAATGAATGGATTTTCTGGACTGACTGGGCTGTGAGAGAAATTTTACAGGGACATGCAGCGGCACTACGGCAGGGGGCCCCACCATAAATAAATATCTCGACAATTATACCACAATATCTATATATAGACACCAAGCCTTAACCCTTGTCAGTGCACGTTGTGAGAATCACATAGCAAGTATCAAGGCTAACCAAGGGGTCCATATGGACCCCAGTTATAATTCAAAGTTTTTACGTACACATATTTTTGAATTAAAAGGCAGCGGTTTAGTTTTTATTTGTATTCATATTTGACAACTGAAAAACAACTAAATTATTATACAAAAACATTTTAGTGACACATGGAAAAGATTTAATAATTCTCACAAAATTGCTACTATGTGTACTATGTGATAAAGAGGTTAAATGACAATTCACGCTTGATACAAAAAACATTGAATATTTGGAATTCATCATTTGATTTTTGGTATTTGTAACATGCAGATGTTAAAAGAGAGAATACTCTGGCATACGCAATATGGTATCAGGCAGCAAAAACATTAGCAAAATCCCTACTGTGAGTTGTAAGTTAGGGGTCCGATTGGATCCCTTGTTCCCTTCAAGCGTTGGGCCTGATTTGCATGTAACAGAACTCTGCATGTGGGAAGCAGATGAATACCAAACTCTTCGCTACGTGTAAAAATGTATAGGAGACAAAGTCACTAAATTTCAGAAAGCAGTGCCCAGTAGTTATTACAAAACACTATAAAACATGTGTATGGAGTCCACGGAGACCCCATGTGCACCGACAAGGGTTAAATCAGTTTCAAACATTTTATAGTCACTAAATAAACAGCCATACTTAATAAGCTATGACCATTTAATCATTCATAAATAATACACTGAAAGATGGTTCCATAACATCCGAGCACATGTGAGTAAAAAAATAGGTTACGTGCCCTTTTTTTGAAAGTACATGTAGTCTCGCTTAACCAGTCTACCGACCATTCTACATATGTACGTTTGATTAACAGAAAGCTGGAACAAGAAATTGAATTTAGAAATATGCACGCTGGGCAACTCAACAATTGTTTTAAGAAACTTGTAAAAGTAAAATGAAACAACTGCTAGTATAATGTTCTTGCCTAACGCAAGTATTTCAGGGATATTATTTATACTAAACCAAAAGACGCCACTCCTAACGGTACAGTTAATGATAAAGCAATTTAAAAAATTAAACAAACGTAATTTCTAAAGCTGTTGCAATAACCAATAAGCTAAATATTACTGCTATTCAGAATTGTTAACAGTAGATTTTTTACGGCTGTAATAGTTGATAGATGTGTAGAGAATAGCACATGCGATGGCTATTTATAGTATCATAGACTCTAGCGCTGAGTGTTATCATAGTGCTAGTGTATGCGAGAAATCACTTCAAGATAAGCCACTGAAGCATGTACATTCGCCGTGTCGAGACCAACTTTCTGTACGGTGCACGGGTCATCCTTACTACGGTCAACTAATTCAAATTGTCAAGAGTTCTAGTTGACATGCATGCCAATGTGTAGGCCCACACATAGATAAGAAACCTAATCTCTCAACCTCAACCCTCTATGTTTCGAGATAAGAGATGGTGCTATATAAATTTACCTTGTAAAGCCCAACGTGAAACACATCGGGCCTCAGTTAGCAATATTGACAACTTTTTCATCAAAACAACAATTGATTTTTGTTATTCATAACATTTCTGCCATATTCAACCACCTGACACAGAAACAAGTCATGTCTTTTTAAATTGAAGCAATAATAGCCTGGCTCTCCTGCATTTTAAATTTGACATCTTTGACGTAATGAAGACGTGGCGTTGTGTACAACAGCCTATCAAAGTAGGCCTACTAACCTGATATGAGTTGTGCTGGAATAATACACCTTAATTATGAATGTTTGTATCAGTTTTGATAAAAACAACACTTGATTTAATTTATTGACAATATTTGCAGATAAACCAAAGTTGTTTCACCAGAGTGGGGTGCATATGTTTAATAAGTTCTAATAGTATTAAAATTAACTTATTTTCAAGATGTTAGGCTACATGCATTAATAATGAAATTAAGTTTGCCAGGTGAAACTAAAGGCACCCAATCGTAGCTATAAACAAGCACATCAGTATATCTCGATGTTTTTAGCTACATTCTCATAGCTAGCCTACACAGGGCTAATTAGTTTTCTGTCCCATTCCAATGACTTGCCACCATTCCTCGTCAAGTCTTCTGTCCTGCATAATTGACAAGGGGGAACCACACTGGACAATTCTAAGGAACTTTCTCAATCAACACCTAGTTGAGCGAACATGAGACCTCCAGCAAAACAGTGTCTTACTAAATGAGCCACCACGGCTCCCATTTCGAAATAAAATCATAGTCTCAAATTTATTATCATTTGTGCAGATGTATTTTTACTTTTGTTTATGAAGTTTCAAATACAGTTAAATTTTGTAATACCCTGTTGAGTTTGATTATTTTTTCTGAGAATGTGTAGCCTATTAGGATGTCGTAAACTTCCAAATGACAATTTTAAACTTTGAGATATATAGTGCTTTAGTCACAAAATGAAATAGGATTGTGACATCTAACTACAAACTATTATGATATATAGATTCTAGCAAACAAAAATAGTTGAACAAACCGAAGAACTTCTGTTTAACTTGACTTATTGCAGTTTTTAAAATTCAGAAATTTCTAATACCGGTACAAAACAAATATAAGAAAAGGATGTAGGCTGCTTGGCACAACTGCATTTGCTTTTGTCACATGGACATAGTGTTAATGGTTATATCATATATTTCAAAGTTAAATTGGTACATTGTCGCATTAAGATTTAACTTACTGTACTGTCGCCTACTGTAAAGCTAAATCATGGAAATGAAGTTTCTCACTATATCAACATTCAACACCACAGTATAAAATCCTTCTGGATACCATAGCTAACTGACTGAATAGGATTACATAATGTAAACGGGTTCTGTACTTATTTTAAATTACTATTTACTTAATAGATGCTGGGCTCCTGGTCATGGATAAATTACTCAAGAACTATTTTGACAGGACTAAGGATGAAAAATAATGTGATTTATGCTTAGGCAATGCAATGACTGAGATAAATGTACTGATATAACATTGTACATCTACATTGTATTGTATTTCAAATATTACATGTATATACATGGTTTCATTTGATTTATATTATAAATATAATTAAAATATAAAATTAAAGGTTGATAGATAATCCTGCATAGATAAATAATCTATATGTGATCAATGTCTACCTATATTAATAGATATTGTCTAGAATAGCTTGATCTGTTACAAAAAGTCTATTGTAGTGGTCAAAGAGTAATGTTTTAAGGGCCTGGTGGCAGATTTGATATTAAATTAACTAGAATGAAACAATGGAGAGGTGGACATAATCACTGAAGCTTTATGTTTGACACCCTTCAGTCTTTATAGGTGCACACACTGATACTAATCTTCTGTTATGTAATAACAGTTATCGTAATATGACAAACAGACTTTGAGACGAATAAAACCGGTGACCAATAAACCAAACCATAAATTTTGTTTTATAATGTTAGACATTTAGCTTTCTCACTTCTGCTGTAGTAAATAACCATAACTCTTAGAACACTGGCCTCCAAATCTCCCACACCATCCAATTGGAATTAAATATACCAGGGTAATTTGTCAGTTTATTTTATTTTCATTACATGTTGGACTATTAGAAACAACCTACAACATTTGACTGGCTTGGAATTAGAATATTCAAAAAAATGTTAAGAGTTTATAGAGTTCTAAAGGTTAATTTATGTTTAGATTTAAATTGGAAAGTGAAATGTATGATATCTTCTATTTACAGGGACTTGAAGGTGACATGATTTAACTGTAGATCATGATGAAGTTAATCAACAGTATTTGTATTTTGGTCAGTTGTTTTACTGTAACACAACAGTTAAAAACATATCAACTACCAGCTTATCTTACACCAGGTTTAAATCAAGGTACAGTACGAAGTGAAGACGAATATACCTGGCTGGTTCAACCTTGCAGTTATCTGGAAGCTGAAAATGTGTCTGCCCCATATCAAACCTGGTCTTCGCCAACTTTTTTTAACTACAGATATCAAATTTGTGGTGATAACTGTACCATTCCTCCACCTATAGGAGTCCGAAGTGCTGTTCCTTTAGGAGGTATTTAGTAAACTTTATTTTATATTTTATATGGAGGCAGACAACCATTAATTTCCCCATTGACTTCAGTGTTAATTCTGTCTCTGTGCCCGGCTCCAACTTTTCAACAAATTTTGTTGGGCTTTATGCTTTTCACTAAATGATCATGACTGCACCAAAATTTGTATGAGGTTGACCACCTCAATTTTGAGATACACAAACTTGAAGTAGCATATTAAAAACATGTAACTGTTCGCTGTACATACATGTACCACTATAACCAACCTGTTAACTCTGTTATCCTTCCGCCACTAAATCATGAATATTTAGCAACACCTGTCAGAAAATGTTAACTCAAATCTGTTTGTCCATTCTTGACCAAAAAATCAACAAAAATAGGCATGCAAAAGGGGAGAAAAGAGAGAGAGAATTGGTATAAATAGATGAACTGTAGTTTGTGGGTACTGAGATGGTGAAATTTGATGGTGGTCTGCCTGCACATAGAAATTAAAGAGTTATCTATGCTTTGTTTTTTCGGCTCAAGAAAGCTCAGGAAACTAAAATGTACTAAAGTCAAACTGATAAAGATACATTATGTAAGATTTAGATAAAGAGCTGACCATTCTTACTATAATAGTTCAAAAAAAGATAACGAGAAATGAATATATTGAAAATTTCATTCAAATCACTTTATTCTGCGTGAAGATCATCAAAGTGAATTCTTGCAGTGGCTGATTTGGTTTAAGTTCATTTTGATTTTATAACATGTATGGCGCCTGCATAGGATGTGAAATGTTCAATAGATATACTGAATTTAACTCAAATCATTTTTGAACTGATGTCTCTTTTAGAGTTTAAAAACTTTTGACAATGTTATAGGTAACATGGGATTAGAAATGCCTCAAATATTGAGCACTGCCATAACCCTTTAGCACTTGGTACATGTAAATATTGGGAACCCCAGTTTCTTAGAAGAAAATTAGAGAAAAGCGATATTTAGAGAGAAATGGGATTTAATATCCACTTGACACAAACCAGGTCATTTCGGGACAAACATATGGTTCAATTTTATTTCGATAATTCCCTTGCACATAGGGGTCTTAAGCAGTGGGAGGAAACCAGAAGGACCTGGAGAAAACCTATGAAATTGGACAGGCGACCCTACTCCTTGTCACGTACAACCAGGGAATCGAAACCACGTCAGTTGACTCAGTGACACAACGTCAGTGCACGGGCTAAACATTCGGCTATCTACCCCCTCCCCCCCGAAAAGTGTTATAATAATACACTGGTACATCCCCTGAACAGACCAAAACAGCCTGAAACTGCTGATCCTCTGACCACCTCAAACCGCATATGATATGAGTATAGCTTTCAGTATTATACAACCATTTTTTGTGTGCCACATCCATGCACGTGATGTAGCTGTTTAAGAAGCCCTAGTTAGGGCAGTTTAGGGCTGTATAAGTGCCAAAGTGTAATCTATTGTTATTTAATAATTTACATTTGATTTACCAGTTGCCAAATTTGAATCCTTACAGGAATATCAACAGGAAGTATTGAATTAAGAGCAGATGGTACCCTTCATGAATGGACAATTATTAACCAATCACCATCAAGTGCTGCTAAAATACAAGTAGGTTCACATCTGGATCTACATATTTTTATATAAATCCAAGGAAAACAATATGTGACAGAACCAGTGATATGGATTATTGTGGGTCAGGGAAAAGATGTCAAAATGTAGAATTTCATAGTGAAATTATACTTTTTATACTGTTATTGGCTTATCAAATGTACAAAACTCAAATTTGTATGTACATGTAAACACTGCTACAAAGTTTTTTTGGGAAGATAAGATCTCCATGATTCCCAAATCTGAAGTATTGCTATTATTTGAATGCAATCTATTGGTGCAAGTCATACATTCTTACTTACACCTGAAATGACAAACCATGCAAATTTGATCTATTAAACATACATTTGCATGAAATGTTATCTTAATTATTAATTAGACATTAATTAACTTATCAACACCATAATCAACTCTCGATGTCATCGCGTGTCACAACTCGACTGTAGTGAAGATGCGAAGAGATACATGTATTCTCTTCCTATCTTTGCCACTTTCTGTTGTATATACCCCCATCTTTCAATTTAAATCTGTGCTAAAATATAAAGCAAACTTACCTTTTGAAACTTTTGGTCTTTGCATTTCAGTAGTACAGAGCAAAAATATGATAGATGCAAATGTACCTTCAAACATGCCTATGTATCGTCACCTTAGCACATTTTTGTTGATAGCATCCTCGCCAATGCTTTTTAAAATATGGAGGTAAAGATTAGATATGGAAGTATCAGCAATAAAGTTACCAAATTTATTAAAATAAATCTTTTTAGCATTCATACATATATATCAAATTGTATATATTATTTATATTTTGTTTTGCAGACATTTGATGATGCATTTTTTGGCATAAGGGTTACTAAGAAAGTCTCGAGTACCCTTAAATTTGTCCCGTTTAAAAATATTCAGACAAAAAAGTACTTAAATGTGTTTTGGCAGGATACCTACCAATCCACCAATGGTGTCAATCAGGCATTTGTATTACGGACACATCCACCATCAGGATTACCAGGAGTTAAATCTATGACATATCAAGGTCTATATCCATCTGCACAGTTAACTGTAAACGATGATCGTTTGCCATTAAATAACGTCTCTTTAACAGCTATGTCAACCTATTTTGTTAATGACATGAATTCATCTGCAACTCCAGCCATTTCTTTCATATTTTCTGCCACAAATCCTTCCAATACAGATACAATCGAAGCATCATTTATGTTTAATTTGCCATTTGGGCTTGAGAAAAATACAGATCGCAGTTTCACCTTTAAATCCATGTCACTGAAGGATGAAAACTTTGATGAACTCTTAATGTCTGCTACATCAGACTTGGATTGTCTTAATTTGTGCAATACTTGGGAGCCATGTTCAACCTGGACGTTTAATAGTGATGATACATCATGTCTGCTTTCCTCGACAGTTAATTTAAATGGCTACAACACATTTAAATCATCTGGAATAAAGGGTTACTGGACAGCCAGCCAACAGCCAAATCTAAAATGTCTGACATTAGACAGACCAGGAGAGTCACCACCAAGTGGTAATATATCATTGTGTAGTAATTCAGCTCTGGACTCTTTGACGTTTGGTGTTGATAATGATATCATGACGCTTTGGAACACCTTTGCAGAGAAAGGCCAATTTGATTTTACCGGAAGGAAAGAATTGGGAATTCATGGAGCTATTTCTGCTAAATTATCTATACTGCCAGGTGAAACTGTCCAATTTCCGATGACTTTGACCTGGTTTTATCCCAACAGAGATTTTGGAGACACAGTTTATGGAAATTGGTATAAAAATCTTTTTGTGAGCAGCGAGGATGTGGCTCAAAATATTTTAAATGGTAAAAAGATCAATCTAAAGGAACAGACAACTGCCATTAATAAATTACACGAAGCCTTCCTTACACCTGGATCTAGCGTACCTGTTTGGCTATCAGATTTACTCATCAACAGTTTAGGACATATTAGGTAAATTTTAAGTGTAATTATATTTTTTTTTATCTTTCTCCTCTTGTTTATTTAATGCTAATAACAACACCTTTAAGATGCTTTCATTAAGCTCACCTAAACTGGGCTCACAGTTAGCCAGTCTTGAAAAGAAATTTAACATCAGAAGTATTAAAGTCTGCAATTTTATCACTTTTTTTTTTTTAGATCAGCTATGTGGTTTGCTGATGGTAAATGGAGACAATGGGAAGCCTACGATTGCTCAAATATGGGTACGTTACATTTGTATTTTGTGAAACTCATCTTGTTATAATCAGATGGTATTGATTTCATTTTTGTTCTGCACCAAATGTTTTGTTTATTTGCATTTTAATTGTTTTCAGATTCTGTTCACAATGATGGAGAACGTCACATTCCTTACATTATGTTCTTCCCGGGATCTATCAGAAATAAAATGGTTGCCTGGGCCAAATCTCAGTTATCTGATGGTATGATACCAGAACAGCTTCAATCCAACTGTTTTACTAAACATTTTGGCAATGTGATTGATGTGCCAAGTGGAAGGATTATGTCTGATGTATCTTCTATGTTTATTGTTTATCTTCTTGAACTTTATAGGTAAATATTATATAGTAATATACATTGTGTTTAACCCTTTCATTGCATATACCCGGTAGTACCGGGTATTATAAAATGTCGGTAAAATATGCGTACCCGGTATTACTGTGTACTCAGTAAAGCCCTTGCTAAAATTAGTACCGTAACTGCAAGTGCCATCTATTGTATTTTCTATACACTAGAACATATTTCCACGTGTTTCAAAGCGGCATACCGTAAAATGGCAGAGTGCATAGTGACAACGTAGACGATGCACTCTCGACGAAGTCGTGAATGACGTCTTGCTGACCAACATGTGGACAATTTCGAGGCGGGGATACACATAATTCGTTTCCAGTTACTTGATAATGATAGTAGTCAGAACAGTGATTGGTATTATGAAGTGTGTGATTTGTTGCGCGACGTTCCGCCCATGGCTAGCTATGTCTCACATGCATGATGAACAAGCCCAATGTGAACACGATAGCCCTGTGTCTGCAGTAGATTCTGACAATAATTCTGATGTTGATAATAATGCTGGCCTGCTGGATCGTAAAAGACGTAGGCAATTCCTGAGTCCCGAACGTGTAGATCTGTTGACTGACTATATTGATAATGATATGGGACTTGGGGATGAAAGTGAAAGTAAAAACAAGGTATTGCAATCCGCACATGGTCATAGCAGCGGGAGACGTGATGCGCGTGTTCGTGGTGGCATTGCTCATGGCTGCTATTGATATTTTTGTTCATTTTATATATCTTTATCAAAATCCAGTGAAAAAAACAATATCTCATAAGTATTTCATGGAGAAAAATTCGTTTTCATGTTCGCTTTAGTGAGAAATGAGAAATCCAAAATGGCCGCCATGACGTCACGTGACTACATTATTATGCAAATTTCCAAAATTCTATTTTATCCTCTTAGCCCAACCTCATGCCCATCCCAACAGACAAAAAGATTTTTCATAAAAGCTTCCATAAGTACTGTTTGGCATTCAGTTCCAACCCCCCTTTTTTCCTCAAAAAAGGGTCTAGCACAGGCAGTGGATTTACGTCTAACATTGATAGGGTTAAAACTATGTCAGGAATCTAAAAATTATACCAACTGGAGCTCCCACCAAACTTTAAGTCTCCAAGAAATTAAATTAATTTTTACTTCCGATATGTAAATCATGTTTAGATCAGTATGTGATTTAGCGAGATTGCCTATTTACAGGGTCTGAAAGTTTCAACTCAAAATATTGAACAGTTTGGAAATGATCACCAAACAATTTATTGGGGTTATGTAACTCTTTTATAATGCCTGCCTCCAATTTGTCCTTTGGTAACCAGATAACTATATATAAACTTTTGCCAAAAGTTTGTTTAACACAGTAATAACCTGCAAAATCCCACTACTCGATGGAAACAACACAAAAGCAAAAGTATAGCTGGTTTCATGGGAGTTCTCCTTTAACTTGGAAACACCACACTTAAACATGCTCCCTTTAACAGTATCACATCTGTAGACTGCAATCAGGTACATAATGAGCAAAAGCAGCAAGGAAAGATGTCTTTCAACAGCTAAGTGTTCAAGTACCATGGGCCTTATCAAGGTTATATCTTGCAATACAGCACTGGGCAGCAAAAGAAGGTTACCTGCAAATATGTGATTCACTTTCAATAACTCTTAGTATATATATTTTTAAAAAATTATATAAAAGTATATTTTTTTTTAATTTTCAGGTGGGAAAATGATACAGCTTTATTAAATGAGCTGTGGCCATATGCAAAAAAGGCAGCTGAATGGCACATGTTAGTTTCAGCACGATATGGTTTACCATACCGTCTTCAAAATACATATGATATACTTGGGTTAGATGCCTATGACATTTGTACGTACAATTCAGCCTTTCATTTATTAGCAATGCGAGCAGCAGAAGAATTGGCCAAAGTTATGGGTAAGTTTTTTGCTGTTGTAATATTTAATGCCGATGTATTGTTTTTAGTAGAGTATTAGTCTGATTGTACAACACAAGTTACACAGCCCTGATTGTAGTTTCTTTCTTTTGTCATTTTTAAATACCAACATTTTGATGTGGTTGTTATCACCATTGTGTGTCTGTCCATAGATTATTGTTCATAATTTTGTTAGCACATCCCTCACATGTTTTGGTTCGATTAAACGCCTACACACCTTAATGGATCAGTGTATTTTCATTGACACAATTTCTTTGAATTGGAAAGAGCCTAAATGCCCTAAAACATGATCTAGTTTTTATAACCACAGCCTGATTGGTATTTTAAATTATATCAAAAGTTAATTTTGCACCATTTTGTGTCTTCAATTTTTAATAATATTTATTTTAGGAGATACAGAATTTGCTATGAAAACCAGAGAAGCTTTTACAGTAGGACAAATAGCATTAGATCAGTATTTATGGAATGATACCATGGGATATTATAATTCTTATAAACGTGATATATCAAATCTAACTGAACATAATCCTGGTGCCATTATGACAGATTGTTTTTATGCTCAGGTACGTCTGCCATAATATAATTATTTATTGTCTTCCTATGTAAAGACCAATGTTTACAGAAAGTATCCCCTTTTTGTGTACGCATAATTTGACATATTTATTTAAAAAGTCTTTTACCAACTGATCCTTTTATATAGATTATCCAAAACTATTTTAATTCCTAATTACATGTCATTTTATCTAAATCACAATTCCTATTTATATATTTTGTCATGTATGCTCTTTTTTATCTTTTTTTATTATGTAAATATTGCCTTGTCTTTCTACAGCATACGCGAGCACATTTATATGGCAGTTGTGCGTTATAGAAATGAGTAATAATAATAATAAAATAGGCTTTACATGGTATGTGGTTTAAATAGATATTACCTATTTGATTTATGTAAAAAACTAAAGTGCCAATTTATTTAAATTTGATGTGTTAAAGGTGAAACCCAGTCAATGCAGATTCTTTATATTTCATTTATTATCTAGTTTTGAGATAATAAATACATGTTATGATAAACACGGGATAAACAACACTGCTAAACACACTATTAATGTCATAATAAACACACTATTAATATCCAGATAAACAAACTGTTAAAATCCAGATAAACAACACTGCTAAACACTCTGTTAATATTGGGATAAACAACACTATTAAAATCTTGTGGAGGCTCTAAACAACGATGATAAACACACTGTTAATATTAGGATAAACACTGATGATACACACACTGTTAATATTAGGATAAACACCGATGATACACACACTGTTAATATTAGGATAAACAACGATGATAAACACACTGTTAATATTAGGATAAACAACGATGATAAACACACTGTTAATGTAGGGATAAACAGCACCAATAAAATCTTGTGGAGGCTCTAGGGGCTAAAGTTGTCATCCAATTGGCTTGGAATTTATACACTTAGCTTATTATATTACCATGCTACAAAAAGCCTAATTATTTTCAATGATTGTGGTTAATATTTTGGAGTTATTGCCCTTGATTACTCTTGAGCGTTGTGTTTATGTTCATAAGACAAAGAAGCCTATCAATTATCAACGATGCCCTATAACTCCAACAGCTACTGATAGAAATTACTGATACATGATGGATTTTTTTTTATGTTAGCACTAGCAAAAATTAAAAGCCTATTACATTTTAATTATTTCTGATAAATACCTCATGGTTTGTAGTTAGAACAACAATGTGACAACCCGTTTGGGCTGCTCAGATCACTTGGCTATTGTGGGTGTATGGCAGTAGGATATAGAGCATGCTTATGAACAGTTGATTCTCTTTTATTTACACTGTCCAGCTCATGATCTTCTGCCAATTATCAACCTCTATACTGACTTTGTGTTCTAAATAGATATATGATTTATAGTAAGAGGAGAGCATGAATCTCCATATAAAGATGTGTGACCTAAGTTTAATTGTTACTTCTTTATTTCAGGTTTTAGCTCATTCAGCAGGACTAGGTGATCTAGTTGACAGTCAGAACTTAGCTACACATCTAAAATCTGAATTAATATTAAATGATTCTCCTTATGGAATGTTAGTACAAACAGGTAATTATTATGTTCTTTATTAAACCACATTCTCCATGGAATGTTAGTACAAACAGGTAATTATGATGTTTTATATTAAACCGCATTCCCCATATGAAATGTTAGTACAAACAGGTAATTATATTAAGTTCTTTATTAAACCACATTTCTGTAAAAATCACTGGGTTTATTTCACACTTAGTAATTTTTGATTAATTTTTAATCAATATCCTTGATGTTTATTTTGTAATGTTATTATTGTACTTTTTATTAGGCCTTTGATGGTTTCATATGAGTTATTGTTTTTTTTACCTTGTTGTATATAATTTGATTTCTTGCGATTATACTGTCATTACTTACTTGAGAACGACAAGAGGAACTTGTTGAAAAGTAGTGTGAAATAAACCCAGTGATTGTTTTCCATATAAATTTGTGTTTTATATCACATTTCTGTAACATAGAAAAACGCCAAAGATTAGAAGCAAATTGTGGTTGTTTCTTTTCAAATGTCTGAGATCAATAATTCCATAAAATTCTAATTACAATTCACATAAAATTATTACTTTCATAACTATATTTTCAGTTAAAGGACAATATTGGTGTCAGTCATTATAAAATATGTGATAGAGCTCGTTAAATACATCCCAAATATAATTTTAACACAGAGATCATTGCTACGGGAGACTTGTAACAAGCACGTGAAGGAACGGGAAGTGACGTCAAACATGACAAACATGAGTTGTCCTTCTATATAACTGACTGAAGTAACGAGCGGTAACAGACAAACGATCGAATATCATTTCACTGATAATTCCGTTGAAGATGAAAAGTTGTTATATGAGACGATGAGGGAATATCTGACAATTCAAAAACAGAATTGGCTGTCAGTAGATAAAAGATAACGAACAAAGTCTGTGCATTACCATGTTTTTATTAAGAACAGAAAGAATAAAAACGGGGGAATGCACGGGATTTTTCTACTTTTTCTTGTGTCCCTTATCTAGTGACAGCCAATTCTATTTTTGAATTGTGCGATACCCTCTCACCATCCCATATAATAACTTTTTAACTTCAACGGAATTATCAGTGAAATGAAATTCGATCGTTTGTCTGTTACCGCTCGTTACTTCAGTGTGTTATATAGAAGGACAACTCGTGTTTGTCATGTTTGGCGTCACTTCCCGTTTCTTCACGTGGTTGTTACAAGTCTCCTGTAGCAATGATCTCTGTGTTAAAATTATATTTGGAATGCATTTAACCAGTTCTATCACATATGTAATAATGACTGACACCAATATTGTCCTTTAAGACCAAAAATATAAAGACAACCATATTAGGTGATAATGTAATAACACAATATTTCAATGAACTTAGATTCAGAATAACTGTATTGCCACAGCACTCGTACTTAAAGGCCTGTTTGAGATTGATTAGCATTGATACCCAAAGTGGCAGTGGTAAAGCCACTTTTACACTTTTTGCATGCATTGCTAGAAGCCGAATTCTTTGTTCTTCATACATCAGAAACTGAAGGATATAAAAAACCCTACCCTATATTCATCCATAAAAATACATTTTTCATACATTGCATACTTTCAGGTAGATATCCGTATCCTGGTCCACCCCAGGATAATGCTGTATGGATGATGGGTAATCCAAACTGGGCCTCAACACAACTTCGTCTTGGTTTAAATCCAACTGAAGCTTTGAATGTAGCCAAGAAAAGTTTAGACAGATATAGAACTGTATTGAATGATCTGTGGAATGTTGCGGGTAAGAATATTGGAAATGTGGTATTTGTTGAGTCTGTCAAATGTCTGCTTTGGAACTTGATAACTTTTGACTCTAATTGAGTGAGAGTGATCAGTGGTAGAAAATTAAAAGTTGGTGTAGATGTTCATCAGATGAATGTCTTGATTGAGTTTGATAAATTAGCATTTTCACCTAAAGACTTAGTAGAGATTGCAACATAGGAAAATGATTAATTACTTTAATTCTAATTGGGTGAGTGTGATGAAACATGGTGTATAATTTGACTACACCAGCACTTGACAAAATTCAATCATGAACATTTTATGCTTAGGCTAATTTGATTCTTGATGCTTTACAAAAGATAAATACAGGAGATCGCGGGAGAATTTTTAAAATTTAAAAAAAAAAATTATAATTTTGGAATGCTATGTCTCCTTTCAGATTTTGATTTGTATGTCTTGTGGAGGCAATTTGAAGTTTGACTGCACTGCTGGTCCACTCTGTGAATCTAGTTTTTGTAATGATTGTGGGGTGTTGGATGGCCGAATGGTTAGCACATGTGCGCCGATCATAAGGTCTGTCATAGAGTCAACTGGCATAGTTTTGATTCCCTGGTTGTACGTGACAAGGAGTAGGGTCGTCTGTCCAACCTCGTGGGTTTTCTCCCACTGCTAAAGACCCCTACGCACAAGCAAATTATGGAAATAAAATTGAACCATATGTTAGTCTCTCTCTCTCTCTCTCTCTCTCTCTCTCTGTAATGGTTGTACCTGAACAACCAACAGTGTTCTTTCTTTTATTTTGTTTTGTATGTTTCAGGTGTAAATGGAGGAATGGGGTATAAAGCAGAGGGTCAACCATACATTACCAGTCACTATGGTTACTATATGTCATCATGGCATATACTACTAGCTTTATCTGGTCAACAAGCTGACCTACCTAAAGGCATCCTAACCTTTAACCCTAAGAATGAAAACCCCTTTAACTATCCAGTGCTATTGCCAGGGGTGTTGGGTACCATAACCTCTAAACCAAGTTTAGATGGTTTTACGATAACATACACATTAAGTCTTTTGTTTGGAGAGTTAAAGTTACAACAACTTGGTGTACGTGATAGTTATTATCCTGGTACTGTATCAGTTAAAGCTGATCAACATGTACAATGGAATGATACCATTTATTATTAATTAATTGTTCATAATTAAATTGAGAAATTTGTTACTAGTCAGTACTTATATACAACAAAGATGTCTTTACATTCCAAATTCCTTGTCAATTGTCAATTTGCATACTTGTCTTTAATACAGCCTTAAATACAGCTGTGATAGTTATCCATGTTTATATATACAGATTATAATGTCTATATACTCACATTGTTTCACGGTCCAGTCCTAAATCTATACAGAAACCTTTTATGCCAATGTGCAGAACAGGGAGCATGTAAAATGTACATTGAAAAAGTATTGACTAACAATTTTCTCACATTCATTTCATGACATTTATAGTATTACAGGCTAATATTCGTAGAATAAAAAATATTATTGATACTAAACCATTTTAACTTTTAAACGTACTATAATTACTCACATCTTTTTTTTTATAAATTGGATAAGAATTTGGTTTTCTATTCATTAAACATGTTCTTTAATTTTTCCTTTAATGCTGTGATATAAAAGGAAGACATTTGTGATATTTTCTTTATTGGCATACCAATTATGACTAGACCAACTTTTTATGTTGTTGTCCCTGTGGGTTGATCTGTTAGTCTTTCAACGCTTGGCTTGTTAATGCAATAGAGGATGAACCGTCTCTATATTCAGAGTTCCACTACCTTTCATTCCAGTATTACCCCCACCTTCTTTTCTCTAAAAAAAAACATTGTGAACACAAAGTCTACATTATTTAACAGTTTTTTTAAAATTTATTAGGATCAGAGATGACGAACCTTGCTAATTTTCAGAAAAGCTTGTGGACGCAATATAGATCAGATTTCTAGCATGATCAGTATCAAATTTGAAAAAACATCCCAGCTTTGTTTATGATAAGTTGCTATCTATGGCTATATTTTTATAGTGACATAGCTCCTGTGACCTGTGTCATATTTCTGTTAAATAGTGAGAACTGTTGTTCCAAATTATACTGATTTTTTTTTCATTGCTTTTTATACAAAATGAAATAAAATTGTATGTTTTATATTATGAACTTATAATATTAGAAATAATAAGAGTATTTAATTTGTGGGTTAAACATTTTGTATTTAATTTGCATAATTTTTTCTATTAAGTGTTTAATTACAATGTGTAATTATTTTATAATTGTTAATTTTAACAGTATTGTCTCAATACATTTTATTTAAAATTAAACTAAGACAGATTTATATTTTATTTTAGATATTCTTTTCTGCTTCAAAACAAATTGTAGTGAGCTGTAGTGTTCATTGTCTCAATAGAATGTATGTCCAGTCTTCAAGTTTGTAGCATTTAATCTGTTGTATTATATGTTAACACTTTTTTTTTATTTCATTGTTGTTAGATCATTAAAAAATAATATTTTACAAACTCATGCATTTTCACCTTTCAAGGGTAAATCATAAATTGTATAAACTGTTCTCAAATATTCTTGTTGTGCCTTCACACATAAATGTGTCATGGACTATAGCAAACAGTTTGTAATATTTTTTTATCTGTAAATTCAGTGTCAAATATATATTTGTATGAGATGAACAGATGAAATTCCATTGTATTAATATAGAAAAATCAAATATGATAAAACGAAAAGGTGAATTAATATGAATGGTATATTTAAATTTCATTGTTTTGTTATTGTTCCCCGCCTTTCGAAGAAAGCAGGGGACTATTAAAATGGGTTCGTCCGTCTGTCTGTCTGTCCGTCACACTTTTTGGGACACAATAACTCTCTTTCTAATTGAGCTAGAATGTTCAAACTTGGTGTAGGTGTTTATTAGGTCAATACCTTGATGGAGTTCGAAGATGAGCATTTTCCGCTTAGGGTAAGCGGAGATAAGCAATTTGATTGGTTGATGTTTTGGGACACGATAACTTTAGTTCTAATTAAGTGAGAGTGATGAAACTTGGTGTATAGTTTCATTACATTAATACCTTGACTTAGTTCGCTAATGAGTATTGTCTGCTCAGGGTAAGCAGAGCGTTAAGCAGTTTGATTGGCCAAGATTTCGGAACACAATAACTCTCCTTCTAATTGAGCTAGAATGTTCCAACTTGGTGTAGGTGTTTATTAGGTGAATCCCTTGATGGAGTTGGAGGATGAGGATTTTCTGCTTAGGGTAAGCAGAGATAAGCAATTTGATTGGTTGATGCTTTGGGACAGGATAACTTTAGTTCTGATTAAGTGAGAGTGAGGACACGTGGTGTATAGCTTTATTACATCAATACCTTGACTAAGTTCGATAATGAACATTTTCTGCTGAGGATAAGCAGAGCGATAAGCAATTTGATTGGTCAAGACTTTGGAACACAATAACTCTCCTTGTAATTGAGGTCGGGGATCACGTGGCTAAGTGGGTAAGACGCTAGCTCGCTAGCCTGGAGGTCGGGTGTTCGATCCCTGCATTGGCCGAGAAAGTTCATCCAGATTTTCCGGCGTGGTTCTCCCTTGTCAGTGGTGCAGAACGGAGGGGCTGACAAGGAAAGCTGTCTAGTCGTTCGGATGGGACGAAAAACCGAGGTCCCGTGTACACATTGGCGTGCACGTTAAAGATCCCTTGGCAGTTGGAATTCGATATAAGAGTAGGCCGTAGTGCCGCTGTCCGGGCAAAATTTCCCTCATAGCACACTGTATGGCGTATGCCCGTCTTCATTAGCCCAGGTTAGGAGCAGAACTGTAGGACGTTAAACTCCATTTCATTTCATTGTAATTGAGGTAGAATGTTCAAACTTGGTGTAGGCATTCATTAGGTGAATCCCTTGATGGAGTTGATGATGAACATTGTCTGCTTACGGTAGGCAGAGATAAGCAATCTGATTGGTTGATGCTTTAGGGGCACGATAACTTTGGTTATAAGGAAGTGAGAGCGATGAAACTCTGAATATAGATTCATTATATCAATATCATTACCTTGACTAAGTTCGATTGTGCGAATTTTCTGCCTGGGCTAAGGAGCGATAAGCAATTTGATTGGTCAAGACTTTGGAACATAAAAACTCTGCTTTTAATTGAGATAGAATGTTTAAACCTGATGTAGATGTTCATTAGGTGAATGTCTTGACTGATTTCAATGATTAACATTTCAAGCTAAAGCTAAGCAGAGCTAATCAATTTCATTGGTTGATGCTTTGGGACAAGATAATCTTGATTCTATCTGATAGAGAGTGATGAAACTTAGTGTGTAGTTAGATTGCTCGATACTTTTGAAAAAAATAAATGTGCGATTAATTCATATGTGTCATCTATTTATTTTGGGATTTCGGCAGGGGACATCAGCCTCACTGTTGGCTTGTTTTTATTAAAATTGAAATGTTTTAATTCTTATTTCCGAATTTTTAATATTTATTAACATTTATTGGTGTTTTTTAAATACAAATTGCAACAAGCATATCAATATTTTATGATAATTGATTTATAATATTGTTTTATAACCTTTAAAATATGAAACTCATATTTTATAATTAAAAGATATATTTAAAAAAATAATAAACTAATAATTAAATTACATTAACATTCCTTTACCTTTTGTCATAAAATTTACAGTAATATACACCAAATACTAAGAAAAGAAATATTTGTTTAACTTAGCATCAGAGGATCAATCAAAGTGATCAATTTGGTTTAATATATATTTTTAGATTAGATTGTAACTTGTAACTTTGTTTTAATGTTGTGATAAATGATTTGTAGTTTTTTAAGATGTATGTGTTTAATAAATGATTTCTTTTTTTAAAAAAAAAATGTATATTAATGTATATGTATATTAATTTTAAGATGCATTTTTTGGCAAAATTACTTTTGTTTCCTTTTATTTTCAAGACGGGGAGTCATATCCGCAAAGGCCGTAACGTTTCGACATAGTAACGGAGTCTATTTTGACCAACAGTAGAACACTGTAAGAAGCATACGAGATTTAATCAAGGAATCAGACTATTTTTATGTGATCATGATGTGATGTATACAATATCGTTAGTAATATAGTCTATACAGAAACTATACATATTATATTATACACATCAAATAATTATCGCCTAGACGTCGAAGAATACTAGCCCATAAAACAACGTTCACCGGCTACAACAAAAAAAGTAGCACAACAAGTAGCAACCAAAATATTGCCGCTAAAGAGGATTTCAATGCGTTTTCTTGGTTCACTTTCCCGCTAAATAAACAACAAAAAAGAAAAAGAAGCACGGATACCTGTCGAAAGTACGACGCGGCGTCGCCGGATTACATCGAATTCTCGTATGGCAACGGGGGCCCAGAATGGATTGAATGAGCCCCAATGTCCAGGGCCCTTATTCACGAAAACTAAGATACAATCGAAATTTTAAGAAATACTGCAATTCGATTGGCTGACCAGTAAAATCAATTTGCATATATCCAATGAAGTTGCAGTATTTCTTAAAATTTCGGTTGTAACTTAGTTTAAGTTTTGTGAATAAGAGCCCAGGGCCCTGTTTCACGAAATTTTAACTAAGATAAAATCCAAATTTTAGTAGATACTTCAATTTTGATTGGCTAAGCACTAAAATCAATCTAGTATTATCCAATCAAATTACTAAAATTTGGATTTTATCTTAGTTAAAATTTCGTGAAACAGGCCCCAGGTCTTTGAAAATTAGATGGAGGACCCCATCGCTGCCACTAGCAGATGAAATCCTCAATCCGACCATGCTCACATCGCTTTTTGCGCAACTGAGATTTTTTGTAGAGGCCCCCAAATGTGGTAGGCCCTGGGGCCTGAACTCCAACGTGTCCCGTGGTTAATCCGCGCTGAGCACGTTGAAGTCTTAGGTAGACAGGCAACGACCCCCATCCCACTCTCACAACATTAGTAGGCCATGTATGTTTTAAGGGTTTTCCCAATTTTATAATAAATCCTCAAGGCAAGAACACCAAAAATACTTGATGTTTATGTTGGATTCAGTCAGCCTTACAAAGTTTGAATAACAGGGGCAATAACTAAACAAATATTGATGCATACCATTTGGGACGGTTCATTCTTATGAGTCAAAAAATATAAGCCAGTTTGAAATAAAAATCTTCTAAACACTTTCCTGTTGAGCGTTAACAGGATTTAAGTGAAAAGGCATAAAATTACTTTTGATTTCGATACAATCACTAGACAAACACTTTCAAGCAATTGAAATGTACGCAGAAATCCATTCAAATCAAACTACATCAAAGTTTTGTTAGCTATGATGTAAAGAGAAAGCATCCCCTGCTGCGTTTGCGACACCCGCCACTGCCTATATTAACTGAAGAGATGGTTTGAAAAGCGATTAATATTTACATGCAATATGTGATTTAGATGACAATAGCAATACATAGTGATGAGCAAAAATTAATTCTTGTTGCACTCTGAGCAATGATCAGATATACAGCATTCAGCCACACACTTTTCTAGGCATCTTAAAATTCTGAATTCCCAAGTTCTTCCATATTATTTTGACGTCTTTTGATTATGACGTCACAATAGGTAAAACGTCTTGCCATTGTTCTTCTACCAGCATTGAGATATTTTATCTGCTAAGAGAACGACGCTCAGTGAGAATTCTGTGAAATTAATTACATTTTCTACACTTTTGTGTATATCCAGATATAAAAGTGACATTAATCATGGCTATATTGTAAGTATATTAAAATTTCATTATGTTATGAAGAAATTCCGTAAAATTCAAAAGGTATTCAGTATGCCACGAATCAAATTGTTATTGTATACATAGATCTATATAGTAAATAACAACTTAGAAATCGTTACCTATGTGAACTTGATAAAATAATTGCGAATTTATAATTTATATTATAGTTTACATTACTTTTTATATTATATTTCATTCTACATCATATTTGGGTGTAGTGCGATCCTCCTGCACTTACTATTATAGTATATTATATTTTACATTATATTTTATATAATATTTTATATTATATTCTACATTATGTTTTACTTTATATTTTACATTATGTTTTACATTATATTTTACATTATGTTTTACATTATATTTTATATGTTTACAGAGAAATACCAGACTATAGTGATAGTAGTGCAGATTGTGATGATGAAATAAGTCAGATGATATATGATGATAATAACATGTTTGTTATATTAACTGATAACGACCGTATCAGCTCTACATCTATAGTTAACACTGCTGGTAAGTAATAGGGCCTACTATTTTGGCACTTGAAACTGGTTTGTCACCAAATCAGTTCGGGCCTCTATTGGTAGCGAAAACGAATCTGAAAATTCGATTTTAAAAGTAAGATACCGGGAAATGGTTTTTAACAATATAAGTTTATACATCTATCTACCCACCGAGCTAAGACCCCCACTCCATCCCTCCCCGTTGTGCTTACAAATGTTTTTATGCCCCATTAATGTCATATTGTATCATTGTAAAATGGTGCGCCCACTTCTCCATTCATTATGGGCTTATTTGTTCTCTTGTAAATATGTATGAATTATTAAATTATCCCCGCAACAAGGACACGTTATCAAAATAAAGTTTTTGTCATCTTGAAAATTGTTTCTTTTATTTTTCAGTTGTAACTTATTACAAGAAATCTAATCACGGATACGAGAAGATTTGTGACTTGAGAATTCCACGATCATCTTCGTTATCGTCGTCATCTTTATCAACTTCTTCGTCAACAGTGTCAGATTTTCATATCCAGAAACGAGAACTTGACGACAGTTTTGCTCTGAACTTAAATCAAAACCAACACAAATCGGTGATCAACTGGGCCGACGAAATCCCATTTGAAAAACCGACAAACATTCCCGACTGGGCATCGATACCTAGATTAGATTTTGATGATCTTTTTGGAGGAATTTGTTCTACTACTAAAAAAATCGGTGACTTAAACCAATTTCAACACCGCTATGTTACTAACTGGGCTGATGAACCCATGTATGATGGACCTGTGGACATCCCTTGCTGGGCTTTAATTTCTGGATTAGATTATGAATGCCACTGTTCATATCAGAAAGAGGATTCTAAAGAAAACGTTGAAGACTTTGATGAAATATACCATGAATATATCCTCAACTGGGCTGAAGACCCTGCGTATGATGGACTCGTTAACATTCCGGATTGGGCAGTCATCCCCAATTTTAATTTCAATGGGTTATGAATATAAGGCTGTTTTCAAACAAATAAAGAATCAACACTAAGTCATATTTTATTGATGGTGTATTTGGATTACATGTATCTACACTTTGCGAATAATGTTTATCAGATTTTGTATTAAGAACGACCTTTGGAAGGAGTACGTCGATTTATTGTCTGGCAGTGTGTAAATGAAGATGGGTGACAATGCTGGATAGGAGTTGTAAAGTTGTTTAGTGAAGACTGAATTATAATATTGATTCAAAACAAGTTAGAATTTGGGTTTGATTGCGTAAAATTCTATGACTGTAAAGTAAATTATTAGATTTAATTGATTTAATTACGACTCAAATGTTATGTTATTAGTGTATGTTTTGGGTGAATGCGTATCATTGAAAATAAATAAGATAATGCATGTGTATGAATGAATAAGTAGCAATAGCATCCGTTGAAATGTTAAATTATTGCATGTGGGCGTGCGAGTAGTATTACATTGGGATGTTATAATATTGTAAGAATAGTGTATGAATATTGCAATGGAATGTTATAATATTATATTGTCTGTTTGGGGAGATGACACTTCCGATTTCAGGGATATACCACTTCCGGTTTCACGAACCTCCTGCAAAGCTCTGTTCGTTCATCGCCGGGTAAACAGCCATGCGTGGTATAATAACGTATGAATTAGGTATGAATGGATAGCATTACATTGAAATTTCATCAGAAAATCATAAATACATTGTAGTAGTGGATAAATGAGTAAAGAAATATTAAATTTAGTAATATACGAGTATTATCTTTGTGGCCAAAAATATTTAGCCCTACATTTTAGTTTTTAAATATTTTTGAAACAATCTTCTTGGCACGAAATGTAACCAAAAAATGCGGTTAACAGTAATAATAATTAGGCCTATAGTGAATATCCCTTTACCTATTGCTGCAAAATTAAAGCATTTGGTCGCAATCGACACTCTTCGAGAAATTCATGGAATTCTTGTGTGGTGGTGGGTGTGTGTGTGTGGGGGGGGGGGGTGGGGGGGGTGGGGGGGAGAAGGTGCCAGGCAGTGGCGGCGCCAGCCGTCGGTGATTGGAGGGGCAAAGCTGGGGCAAAGTCCAAGGTTAAGGGGGCAAAGGCACGAGCTTCCACTAGGGGTAGGGGGCCTCCCCCAGAAAATTTTGAAAAACAGTTTGCCGGAAATGCAGCCTGGCAGTATTTCAGGCATTGATCGATGAGGTAAAGTGTCAAACGAACGGACTTGCGAATCACGACGAAGCCCACTCACGAGCGTCAAAGTAGGGAGTCCTCCCCCAGGAAATTTTGAAAAATAGACTGCCGGAAATGCTGTCTTAACAGTATTCTGTCAGGCACCGATCGCCGAGATAAATAGATCTGACCAGATACCGTCCGTCGCCTGATCACTAGTTTATCCGACTAGAGAACAAAATGTCAAACGAACGGACTTGCGAACCTCAAAGAATTCCCCTTGTGAACGCCAAAGTAGCGAGTCCATTGGGGACCTCGCCAAGAAAATTTTGAAAAATAGACTGCGGAAATGCTCTACAACATGCAAGTTTATGACTGAGTGGGGATGTGGGATTTATTCACCGTAGAAGGTATTGATTACCGAAACGTATCACAAATACTTTTTTTTATTTTCTAAAATTATTTGGGGGGGGGGGGGCAAAAAGAGGCCAGACCAGATTAATGGGGGGGGGGGGGCAAATGCCAGTGGTGCCAGGGGTTATTTCACATCGAGATTTGTAATTGGGCAAAGAGAAACATAAGACTGCCGTTCCGCAAAGAACACTCATGTAAATCAGGCATTTTATACAACATGTAACTGTATGTAGACTTCTATAAACGAGTCCCAGCACAAGAAACCTTCTGGTTAACAAAATAGGAAGTTATTTATATATTTAATTCAATAAAACAAATTAACCAATTATAATTGTAACAATAATTTTCTGAATGTACAATATAACTATTATAAAATGAGCCCATCACACCTTTTCATTCCACATATTCTCTAGTCAGTATCAAATCATCATCTTTTAAAGCTATCGAGAAAGATTTCATTAAATTTATGTTTTGGGGTCATTACAGCACATTTTATATGTAATATTCTGCTTTTACAAACAACTACACAAAATGTCATACAATCAAAATCAAAAATGTTAAACATACATTATGCAAGAGCTAAATCTGTCTATTGCAGGTCTTTCTTTGGGCCTGAAATGTTATCTAAATTATTAATTAGACATTAATTAACCTATCCAGACCATACTCAACTCTAGATGATATCGCTAGCCTGCGATCTTTAGTGGATTATGAGCCGATTTACTGCATAACTTTCATTCACGATAATCGAGACTATGCTGTTTATCGTACTGACTTTTTTAGTAATGATGACCGAGGCTATGCGGAAAAATTCAATCGCTTAGTTCTTGGTTCATAGTGGATCAATTTGAATGAACTTTTCAGCAAATTGCTTTTACATTATCTAGTTTTTAACTATTATAGTGCGAGAGAGAGTTTAACGTCCACTCGGCACAAATTATGTCATTTTGGGACAAACATATGGTTCGATTTTATTTCAATAATTCGCTTGCGAGTAGGGGTCTTTAACAGTGGGAGGAAACCGGTGGACCCGGAGAAAACCCACGAGGTTAGACAGGCGAGCGAGAGTTTAAGGAGGAAACACTGACCTAATGAAGTTATAATTACAAGTGTAACATAAGTAGACATATAAGCAGACATTAAAATATCAGCCTTTTGAATCCATATGCCACCCTGTTTCTTATTTAATTAATACATGATTTAATAAGTTTTATGTTCCAACTAACTTGTGACGGACATATTGTTAAAACTATTGTCACCATAATATCCACTTATCATACATTAAATTGTCAATACACTCAAATTCTTTATTCTTAGTTGGTATTTTCAATATACAATATTCTAGATTCGCTAAATTTCCACCATTAAGAGGAAACGCTTCACTCCATCGCCGTCTGTTTGTATCGTAATATTCCACCATTTTAACTTCTTCTCCATTACTCGAACTTTTACCTCCGATCATCCAGATGTTTCTACCTTTATTAATATAAATACGTGTTATAATTTATATATGGATAAATGGATTTTTTCCCCTCTGATCATCAAGATGGCATACACATAACTAGAGCGGTTCTTTCTGATCACTTACACAGTTCTACCTTTAATAATTTAAATCAAATCTATGTTTGAATAAACAAATTGTGCAGTGTGCACTGACAAATGGAAGATTGACCTCCGATCAAACATATATATACCCGCAATCATCCAGATATTTTTATATTGTATATTTTTGTAGAATAAATATTATAAACAGAAAAAATGGAGTTTTACCATTAATAATATAAAGTTGTCATCACGTGCATACCGAGTAGACATTTTCGTTCGACTTGGGGAAAGGAGCAATCAAACACAAGAAATATTATGATGAGGAAGAATGAATACTATCTGAATACTGTGGACAACTTAAATGGCTACTCTGCATATACAAAATCGCTGTATTTAAACTAACCACGAGATGTTGATCATAAATAAATACATGCATTTAATATTAAAAGAAATGAAATGGGGTTTAACGTATTACTTTTCTATACCGATTGGGGTAATGTCTGCGATATCACCTCTGTGGAAGCGGACGTTAAATAAAGCAATTTCACACACATAATGAAGTCGGGCGTACGCAAAACAGTATACTGTGGGAGATAATTTAACTGGACAGCTTTTCTGTACTGATTGGGGTAACGTCTGCGATATAACTTCGGTGGAAGTGGACGTTAAATAAAACTATTTCACACACATAATGAAGACGGGCGTACGCAAAACAGTATACTGTGGGAGAGGATTTCGCCGGACAGTGGCACTAGGGCGGAGTGGGGCCTATTCTTGTTTCGAGTTCCAACTGTCAAGGGTCCTTTTACCTAGTCTAACGGCAGCGGCATTACTTCTAGGATGTTTCATATCTTGATGTTCATTATCCCAAACAGGTTTATCAGAAAACTCAAAACCATCTATATTATAATTAGATACTTGATTTTCATCTTTTTCTGATATAGTTTCATTATCAAAACCTCGGCCTGTACAAAACATCAAATAAATATTATTATTATTTTATTGTATAATAATATATATAGTAATATTTAAAGGTTATAATTATTGGCAAACTCAACAAAAAATGTTGACGTCTTAAGACGTGACAAAACGTCCAACTATTGTTCTATCAATAGTCTATATTAGTATACGATCTGCTAAATAATCCCCTTTTCTACACATTCGTGCATCCACTTACTCTTCATTGAATTTCAACTATCATGGTTTCTTTCGTGCATGCCAACATGTACACGGCCATGTACATGGGACCCCCGGTGTTTGTCCCATCCGAACGACTAGACACTGTTCCTTACCAGGCTCTGCACCATTAACAGCGATAAACCAGGCCAGACATCACAGATGGTTAGTGAGCAGGCAACTTAACCAACGAGCTACCATTACCCACATGAACACTATAAGAATGGGATATAGAAGAAAATGAAGATTACCTCCTAATATAAATATTTTAGTAATTCCTACTGCCACCATATTATGTTTATCGCGTTCTTGTGGTAGTGCTATTCCTTCTAACGGTTCACACCACGTATTTTCTACTGGATCATACATCCTATAACAAAACCAATATTATACTATATTCCTTTCATTATAACATAGAGAAAATACATTTTATGTGTCAAAGGTCGGGAGATGGAGGCAGACCACCATTAATTTTCCATATCTCGGTAGTCACAAATTGTAGTGCCGGCTATTTTTATAAGATATATTTTTCTCCCTCCTTTCCTGCCATTTTGTATGCTTTTCTGTATTGACTTTTTGTGTAGAATTGAATTTCTATTTTCTGCTTTGTTTGGTGTCAAATTGAGACTTTTAAGGCGGAAGAATACAACGAGTAAAGGGGGTTCTCAACGCAATTTAAGGAATGAGCGACAGCATGTAGAACAACACTGATTTAACATAAGAGTCAATGGAGAAATTAATGGTGGTCTGCATCCAGATATGACGAGACACAAAGAGTTGTTATCTCCCTTTACTAGTTTGAGTTGATGACTTTCATTCAACTGGCTTCACAAATGAAATGAAATGAAATGAAATGGGGTTTAACGTCCTACTGTTCTGCTCCTATACTGGGCTAATGAAGACGGGCATACGCCATACAGTGTGCTATGAGGGAAATTTTGCCCGGGCAGCGGCACTATCGCCTACTCTTATATCGAATTCCAACTGCCAAGGGATCTTTTACGTGCATTCCAATGTATACACGGGACCTCGGTTTTTTGTCTCATCCGAAGGACTACACAGCTGTCCTTGTCAGACCCTCCGTTCTGCACCACTGACAAGGGGAAACCACGTCGGAGCTTCACAAATGATCGTCTACACATTATTAATGTGCCAAAACCAATCTCAAACGTTGGCTATACTGGATTCTTAAAAAAAATCTTTTCCATTGCTACTAATTTCTTCAATATTTGCATTAATTATACGTAAACACGGAATTGGGGTAGAGTTTTTAATAGGTCAAGTAGAACATTTTCCTGTTTGCGTTAAATTACATCTAATGAATTGAAATAACTAGAAGTTGGGGGTTGAAAAGTATGATGATTTGAAGTCACTTTTGTTAGTGTTCCTGCCTTGTCTTTGACATTGATATCAGACTGAAAGACACAATATTCCAGACTAAAAGGAAATATAGACTTTCATACTCAATACGCATATTTTACCAAAAGGTATATTGGTCTAAAAAGTATCAAAATACACATATCCTAAAGTGAGAAATGACCTCCTAAAGTTCATATTACTTTCTATTAACATCACGTCGCCATCTATATTTCTTAGACCCGACTGTCAACGTGTGAAGGATAACTCATTTATATCACAAAATTCGAGCTCAAGTCTATCTATCGTTGTTATTTTTTTTCATAAAATGGAAATGATTATCGATCGTGGGTTGTCCATTGTTGATTTAATTTATTTCGAACACATTTCTCAAAGTCATATAATTCAAATCATACCATTTTTTTTTTTTTAGCAATGTTCATTTTACGGCAGTTTGGGAATAAAGCACATTCTAGAATTTTATAGAAACATGTTGCTCGTTTATCAAGAGAAAAAAAATAACATTTTTCACCGATTCCTTTTCTTTTCAGAAAACAATAACTTGAAGCAAAGTCATAAATATTGTTGTTTTCAACAGCAGTAAAAAGATTTAAAGTGGACTTCAAGTGACTCATGTGATAAAGAGATTAGTAATTTTCTACACGACGGCTATTTGTTTTATAACGTGAGGCGAGGGTTTATCACTACTTTAACAGATACACACCACAATTACACAAAACATATGGGAAATTAAATCCCAGAGTAACGCCGACCGTTGTACAATTAGTGAGACATTCCGATGCCTCCTTTGCATGGCATCGCCTCCTGCAATGACACGCGGAACAATGTCTGAGATATGAGTCACCTTCCTCATGATCAGGCAATTACAAGTCATATTTTGATCAGTTTACCGTCCGCGCACTTAATCTCTTTTAAATCCCTTCACAATGCTGCTAATCAATTAGAAATTCTTCCTCTTCCCAATTCGCGTTTTTCACGTTCCAAAAATTACTTTTAATCCAGACTTGGTCCTTATTTAATTCTAAAAATTGCTTACATTGTTTAATCTGTTGGCTTCAGAAGAGACCGTTATGTTTAGAAGAATATCCGCCATAAATCTCACAGTCAAGATCGCTTTAGTAGTAGAATAACAACCCATTTTAATCCTAAATTCATGAAATTTTTACAAAAGACATTAAAATTGTCGTTCGGTTATTATATAAGGCGTGGATTTTCGACTGTTAATGATGTGAAGATTAACTTTCAATATCCATTAGACCAACTATTGATTTATTTATTTCTTCTTTGATGGGTGGGTGATCTATATGCGGGGGTAAGTAAAAGTTTAAGCGCAGTGTACAGAACGAAGACATTTTTCAGTTCAAATGCATACAGTCTCGTGATTGAATAAAGATTTCTTGTGGTATTTGTGAAGTAGTTCTATAAAAAAAAAAGGCAGATAAAAACTGAGGCTATGTCTTAAGTCTACGTCTCGTCCGCAGATAGACGCACTGAACAATAACAATTTCAATGAATATTTATTTTTGCTTCAGAGGCCGTAATTATGTGAGTGATGCGATCCTTTTCATGAAAACTTAAACTAAATCATTATAAGAATATTGATTGCTCATTTAAGTAGCACAAACCTTAGCTCTTGGTCAATGAAAGGGCCGCATTCTTAAAATACATGTTATTTAGGCTCTGTTGAATGAGGCTCCTGGTCTAGCATTATTCATAAATCATTATAATTGTGACATTTCCATTAAACCCACTCAACTGGTATCAAATTTCTAAAATATACAGAGTATGTCCTATATAATGAGATTTGTAATTTTTTTAGAAAACTTCAGAAGTTACCAATTCTCGGGAAGGGTTTTGTCAGAATTTTGATGTAATTATATGGAATTATAAATACGACCAGAATCATTATGATCATTTACTATAAAACACTTAAAAAGAATTTGATAGCATATTATGATAAACAGTTGAATGTTTTACACAGATATGGGACTTTAGGTATAATCGTTATTCATTATTTTCTATCACGAACAACCTTCAACAATTATCATTTTAAATAAAAACTGACTAAAGCACAATAATTCACATATTGTGCACAAATAAAAAATAAATTAGAAAAATATTAATTAATATTAATATAACAAGAGGATATCACTGTTTTAATATTTGTTGAGGCGATGAAGAAAGGTCCTTCTAAAATGAATATAAATTCATAAATAAAATCTAAATACTTGTTACTGTTGAATTGTGGATTAAGATGATTGTTCATGCAAAGCTGCGCTATCGCTAATCTATATAATTTTCGATTTGAGGTGATTTTTCGCAAAGTTTCGACAATTTTGTCAATAAATTGCTTTTATACAGCTGTTTAAATTTCAAATTTACAAGTAGATCAGATTATTGTTCTGTCATAAACATAAACTTCTTCTCAGTAGATAAAGGTCAATAATTCGGTTAAATGTAAGTTATTTAACAGGTGCAATAGAAAAATATTCTTCCTGATTATTTAACGAAACTATAGAAACGCGTGAAAGCCGTTAATGTTTCGGAGTTAGTAACGATATAAACAATTAGCTTATTATTATCTTTCTATTGAACGTATAAATTCGAGCCTTTTGCTACTTGGGGTGGTATAGCTGCTGAAATTGACGTTACGTTATATTAGATACGCGCCACAAATTTTCTCTGAGGCGGACCCACGAGACCCCCCCCCCCCAGCTCCCTTACATCAATTATCTGTAATGGAAGAGATATCGAAATGTGTGATCAATGGCTCGTCATTATCAAGAGTTATCGATCCTTTGTTCTAACAAAGAAACTGGACAATGTTACTATAATGCAATCGGGCCGATGATTGTATCAATCTTAGTTGTTTATGTATTATTCATTATTTCATTTTCTCACTTGTAAAATTGGCATTGTTTAGGTAGATTAATCGAATTTATGTTCGCCATTATGCGCTTCTTGCTTTAGCAATTATTTTTAAACCGAAATCTATTAAACATGTATTATACAATGTATTTTTTGCAATCTACACTTTTAACCTTGATACTGGAATTTAACATTGAAAGTATCAATAAAAGAACCTTTACATTGTCTTAAAGTGTAATACCCATATTGACCACCGATCACGCGCTCGCCTTTCTCTTATCCTATTATATCATTATTAAATTTGACTTTTCTGATTTCATGCCATATTTTAATGAACCATATTATGACTTTGTCTTCTGAAATTACTTTTAATAAGCTTATAACCAACTCCAACAAGACTATTTACAAAAAAAGAGATCACATATCAATTTCAAATGTTTGAAAGTTGAATGTGTTAATGACTTCGTGGGTTATCAAAGTTTGTTTAAAACAGACTGGACAAAAATTACATGAAATTTGCGGGAGACAGGGAACACTTCTATTGTACTCTCTGTGTAGTTTTTACGCACAATAAAGAAATAACCGGCTTCAAGGTTATCTTTCTATCACAAGTTTCTTTTCAATTTCGTTCATTTCAGAATTAATTAACAATTTGTTTCTAATCATTCCCCCAAAATATACCGGGACCTTCAATTTTAATAAAATCCAATCTGCTCAAATTTAATTTGCATTATTTGACAAGTGACTCATTCTGTGTGGCCAAATCTGTACCCTTTACAAAAACTAAAACATGCGATTTTTTTGTCATTGTTTGAAACAATACTGGTCTAAGAAGACATCCTTGTGCCCCTCCAGTCATGGCGCGCGATTAATTCGCTGTGAGTCATATGCTCCACCCCACTCTCTGCCGATCATTTAACGCTTGTGTGATTACCATCAAAACCGGGCCAAAAGTTGTTCTCATTAACCATAAAATTTTCATTCTGGACAATTCGGGCGAAGATAATATAAATATTATTACTGTTAATTCTAATTTTAAATCACGTCCCCGAATTTCCTTGTTTCATTTCTTCTCAAGAATTGGACTGAACAATTATTTCCCATTTGAATCTCGTTATCATTGGA